TGGCTTTATTTCGATTGGTGCTTGTAGTGGGCTCTGTTTAATTATGTGGAATCCACAGGATCTTAGGGGGATGGGAGAATCTTTTTTTCCACATAATTAAACAGAACCCATTACAAGCACTAAGCAAAATAAAGTCGATGTAATAGTTTTATACGCGTGCATACGCACTGGCAGCAGTTGAGCACAACTCAAGTATTCTTATGGGCTTTCTTTTATGCAGCAGGGTGCACATGCGCACTGCCGCTAACTCATTAAAATCTCCTGCTGGCAAGTTACTGGAAGGGATGCGGTTGCCTGTTTCGACAGAACACCAGAGTTTGCTTCCCCTGGTGTAGAGGATCTGAAACATATTTTTTAATAGTTGTCTGTGCATGCAGCTAGCTGTGGTTGCACCTAAATTTGATCTGTATGTCATAAATGCAATATGAACAGACCATCATGATCTTTTTCTTTTCCCTTCCAGTCTTTCAAGCATCTTCTAATAAAGAAGAAAAGGTTGATTGTCCTCTTCAGCCATTGGCTAGTGCATGCATATGGGATCATCTCCATTTCCAGAATGGATACGTTGGAATGGGACTTGCCTCTTCTCGCATTGGTTCCAGGGCCTACCCTCTTCTACTTGCTGACCGCCAAATTTACAGACCCAGCACGGATACGTTTGGAGGAAGGCAGTGCTCATTAATGGACATGGCAGCGTAGGAAGCTATAAAATAAGGCAAATTACTAAAATATGTCAGCATGTCTGGACATATTTTGAAGTGCACTTGTTGTCTACTGGACACAGCCATTTTGTATGCTGGACCAATACGCATTAGAAACCAGGAACGCCCCATCACCTTCAGGCGGTGGGCTGACCAAAACAATACCGAGAATGCAGCTATACAATTGCCTCATAGCTGATGACCTGTCTGAGACATACTCCACTGTGCTGCCTCACAATGCATTCTCCCAATCACAGATTGTTGGTTCCACTATGCATGGATGACCAGCATACGTCAACAAACCTCCTATCGGAAACCTTATTCCCGTAGATTTGCAAGCTCTTAGAAATGTGCCCTGTTGATTTAACCCATGCCAAAATTAAAAGTGTAACTACACTGCTGGCAGATTGTGGCTTGCAGAGTATGCTGGGACTCCAGTGATATTCAGAAGGATGGCTTTGTTTGCTTTATGACTTAAATATGAAAAGAGCTGATTGGCTGTAACAATGCACAGGGATTGAAAGCAAAACTACACTTAGTACAGATTGGTGGAGAGGGTTGGGATTGGCCCTCTACCAGACGTTTAAAGCTACCCAAGATCCAGCCAATGGCCCCCTGTAGTAGAAGTTGAGTACTTCTCAGACCGGCAGCGTGTGAGTTCTTCACTCTGGAGCTGGGAGCACCCTGCCGCCATCAGGTGTTTCAGATAGAATGTCCTTTGCTGGATGCCATGGTTCATCCCACTGGCCACTACTCAACTGCTGTGCCCTGTAGTAGGGAACCACTGTGCCCAGCAGGGGACTCGCTATCCAGCACACCCACAAGTGTGCACAAAGGCAGACTATAGACTTCCATTACAAGCGTCGATCTAAAAATGCTACTTTCCTGGCTGTCATGAGTTCTGATGTTCTGGGCCAAAAAGAATTAAGCCAGAGACAGTCAGCATTTTTAGTAGGTCAGCAATGACAGCTTGTATTTGTGTACAGTCACCTTAAGGGCTAGCTCACACCAGCCTCAGTGCGTTCCGGCCCAATTCTGGTCGCAAGGCACTGGATCGAATTAGGGCCGGCTCACTTTGTTTTGGGGTGGCAGTGCACTGAACTCGATGGCACTGCAGCCATACGGGAACTCGTGGCACATCAATGCCTGCATTCCAGTGCGGTCAGAAAAAATAGTGCATGCAGCATTTTTTCTGACCGGACCGCAACGCAGGCATTCAGGATGTATCTGCTTGCACCTTCTTCTATCTCCACTAGGTGTCAGACCTATTAAAACAGATCTACGAGAGCTTTCTGATACCTAGGCACAGGGAAGCAGAGACTGAAAATGTATTGCCACTTTCACAGGCAAAATTGAACCCCCCCCCCCCCACACACACACACACACACACACTCCGCAACTATAGTCCTACTCACACAGCAGAACTTAAAAATATGTTTGTATTAAATATTCCTTACCCTTTAGAGATCACTATTTAGCAGGCTTTTGCAAGCTGCTCTCTCAATTTCGCCAACAGGAAACACTGACTGTCCTAAAAGAAAGACTGAGCTCCCTCTCATTGACATACAATGACAGAAGCCAAGCTTCTAGATCTTTAACCCTTCTATAAGACCGTGTTCAAATCTAGCTGACAAATGATGAGCCAGCACGGAGCAGACAGGGTTCATTATGTTAACATTAACCTACCCAGCCTCCCCTTGCATTCTAGAGGAATATTTAGTACTGGGAACAACTTTTCTCTTGAGATTTTAAGTTGTTTTTTTTTACAAGCAGCAATTGAATTTTTCTTTTATCCTATAAGAATGAGGTACATGTAACAAATATAAAATAAGTGTTATCCAAATTTTGGCTGCAAAAGTGGAAATACACTTGAAGTGTCCCTGAAATGTTTAGAAAGGGTGCGTGTTATGTACATGCTACGGCGTCCCCCATCCTGTTCAAATAAACCGAGCTTAGTGGAGCTCCCCTTTAAATGGAAGTTATCATCTTTCTTCCCTACAAAGCTAAACGTGTCAAAGTGCAGCTTGTAATCCGCCTGTAGAATGGACATTTTTCTGTTTCAGAGCTTGAAAAAACCAAGCTGGTACAATGTATCTCCGCTCTGAGGGTTGAACACGCTACTGCTTTATAGCTGATTGCAGGGGTCAATGTGAGATAATGCTGAGACTACTGTAGTGCAACTAAGACTTGTCCATGGGTCATTTTTATCCTAGATTAGTCAAAGCCTTTCTCTGAATGCAATTAGGGTCTATTCACACATAAGAGTCACGTTGCGTTAATGTGCTTTATTGCACGTGTTAATGCATGTTGCATTAAGGCAGATTATTCATTATGGCTGCCAACACACCCCAAAGGATGAAAAAAACATGTATAATCATTCTTAATGACACAATACATTGTGATGCAGTGTGTTTAACTCTACTGTATAATATGCTAGCGTGCACACAGAGCAAGTGTGTTGCCATGCATTGTGGCAACACGCGTGTTTTAGTGAGTGTTGCCTTGTGAATGGGCCCTTCACGTTTATCTTGTGCAGAGAACGGCTAACTCATGCAAGTTAAAAAGTTGCTGCAAACTGTCTGATCCCCCCTCCACAATGGCTGGGGGTGGAGATACCTGGTAAAAGGGATCTGACATTAGGAAAAGAGTACTTGGTACATGAAGCTGTTTAATGGTTAAAAAAACATGTTTTTGCCAAATATATCATTGTTCATATTAATTTAGCTTCAATACAAAACACTGTAGAAGTGAAACTACACTAAGGTATTTGCGTAACTTTGCAGCCTCACTACACCGGTCTAGGCCTCGTACACGTGAGCATTCTTTTCATCTTGGCTTGTTAACGCTAGTCTGAAAAGTAAGGCATTCAACAAACAGGTACAAAACATCTTTCCGCTGACACCTTTCATCTGGGAGTTACAGAGGGAGCCCTTAAAGGAGAACTATGAGGTGAGTGATTTCCACTTGTCCTCGTAGTTAGAGCCGACTTGTGACGAAGAAGCTGTCACAGGTCGGCTCTATTGATCGGGAAGTGAGGGAACACATACCGGCGCTCGCTCACTTCCTGATCATCTCCCTGCAGAGAACGGTGACTGGCAGAGCCAGCTGTCACTCACGCAGCTGGGTGGATCTCGATAGTATTGTCGGGATCCGTCCTCAGTATATAGCCGATATACTGAGCTTTGAAAAAAAAAGTGTGTCTTACTGCGCTCCTTACCGGATCTCCTAGGAGATGATGTCTGTAATCGGGTGCTTGTAGCGACCACGGAGGCACCGTGTAACCAAGTAATAATCCCAAAAGATGTCACCAGCACTCCAAAGAATCAATAACTTTTAATGACAATGGTCATTCAAAATCAGTGATTTTGAATGACCATTGTCATTCTACTTTTGGAGTGCTGGTGACATCTTTTGGGATTAATGCTGAGCTTTGGGTCACGGGAGGAGGTTATTATACTGCATGTCCTCCGGGGACCTTAAAGAGAACTAAGGGGGAAAGCACTTACCCCATAGTTCTCTTTTAAGTATTTAGAAATGTTAAATAAATGGGAATCCATTGCAAATAAAAAACATTTAAGATCTGCCTAAGTTTATATTGACATTTAACCCCCAGCCCAAAATCTTCATCTTAAGTGCTGGCTGCTCCTGTCCATTGCGTCCCTATAGATGTGAATGGGGCATTACTCTTATACTAGAGAGGCTAGGAGTACAGCCCCATTCAAGTCTAGCACTGTAGACAATTTTGGACCAGAGGAGACCTCTACTGTAGACAATTTTGGACCAGAGGAGGCCACCACTGTGTGGATTAGATCAGAATAGGGAGCTAAGGAGGAGGGTGGATGGAGTTTTTTTTTCTTTCTATATATATACGAACTTGCCCTTTAAAACTCCCAGACAGAGCTGGAAGGGCTCTAAGAGGACTTGAAATCAGCGTCTTTGTAAATGCCTTCCATTATGTGACGATTTTCAGACTTTTGTTTCCAGATTAAGGTTGCAAAACTGCCCCGTCTACTAGGCTTTAGTGTTCAATAAAGCTCCATAGGGAATGACAGGTCTAACACTTGAATAGCATTTCACCGTTCCATTCTGCATTGGTTTCTGTGCAGGGTGCACTCTGAGAGCTCCTTGTACATATCGATGGTCATTCATACTGTGCTTTTTGGGTTCTTGTAATATTATATATTTATTTGTTTTGTGGATACACAAAGGTCACTGGCATTCTATGTGTTTCTTTTATACGTTGATCTCTGTCATGTATGCATTTTTGTTTGATGTGACTGTAAGAAATAAAAAAGGTCTTTAAACATTGGATGTCCTTGTTCCAAGGCAGCAGTGTTCAGCGGACGCCTTCCTTTCCTGAAATAGAGCGACGGGAAGATTTTATTGAATAAAGTCTGCGCTGAATTCATGTTTAAACTGTTCATTTTCGTGTCTGCTAACTCTCCTCCATACTATGACATGCATATATGGGTGAGACTAATAAACATGTTCATAAAAGATCATTTAAAGGCAGGTTCACCCCATAGTGCACTCTATCGCACAGCACTGCATGCTAGGTCTGCTGAGGAGTATTGCATTGCCATTTATTCTGAATGGCACCCCAATACCAATGCAACATGCGGTACCTTAATAACTTGCATTGCGTTGCCATGTGTAAAAAAAAAAGTAGTGTGTGCTTTACTTTTTATCACCACACAGCAATGCAGTACCACATGTTGTAACACACATCTGCCAGATGAATGGCAAAGCACCAGCACACCTATTGTGCGGTGCTAAACGCATGGAACCATCCCTTAAAGGAAAACAGACATTGGCTGTCAGATTGGGCTCTTACCTTTAGTGATGTTTTCATTAAAGTAAAACTATGGGGTTAAGGCTTTTCCCCATAGTTTTCCTTAGGGTAACGGGAGGACACAAACTAGCGTCCTCCCGTCACCCTAAGCTCAGTATACCACGAGCTACTGTCCATTCATAGTTGTAGTTATAGTAAACATACTATGTCCTCATGTTATGAATGAACGGAACAGGGGGTGATGTAGATCACTTCCCATTCATTCATAATTGAGGATATAGTAACCATACTCTGTCCTCGTTTATGTACAAACACTCAGCGATCACTGATCTCTGACTGCTTGTACCTCGCTCTCCTTCCCGGAGAGACGCTGTCACAGGAGGCTGAGTGAGCGGTGCGGGGAGGAAAGCTCAGCCTCCTGTGACAGCGCTGGCTGTCTCCGCCCACAACGCTCTGTGACAGGAGGCTGAGCGATGCAGGGAGGAGAGACGCCGGCCACTCACAGCGCCCTCCTCCCTCAGTGCGCGGCCGCCTGTGACAGTTTCTCTCCTCTCCCATGGGACACAGAGCGGCATGGAGGAAAGAAAGCACGGATGCTCGCTATATCGGCAGAAAAATTGAACTTTCGGCATTTATTCGGTGGCCGATATATCGGTGCATTCCTAATTAAGATCAATCTACTCCTTATTGGTTCACCTATACGGTGCCCTGGCTAACCTCCCTGCTAACTGGACAGAGGAGACAATGGCATTGTACCATTGTCCAATGAGCAGGCTGGATGTGGAGAGGTGAAACAGGAAGCTGAATTGTTGAACCAGGAAATATATGAATCACCTATCTGGCCGTGTGGTTTCCGAGATCACGAGATAGCTGTACAGAATTAAAAATTCTTTGCCAGGTGTAATTGTAAAGCATGAATATAAACTTGGCTGTTTGCCTAGAATTTCACTTTAACCTCCTAATTAGAACACATCAAATGTATGAAGAGCAAGTCATGTCAAGCTCCCTAATCAGTATGGTCAACATGATACACTCATACCAAATCTATATATTCCATCCATATAATACCACTGATACATACCCACTTTGCTCTGTAAGAGAGATGCCAGCCCATTATACTTCTCTTGTAATATACTATTCAGATATCCAACCTTCCCCTCTCTTTGATGAATTTTCTTTAAAAGCTCCATGATGGCATCCAAGATCTCCTGGTCCCTTTCTGAATAATCCTAAGATATATGAAGTTCAGTATTATTGTATCTGATGATTAATAATCTTCCTCATAAACAGTAATTGAATATGTTCAGAAAGCTGAATAGGAATAAAGTATTCTACTTGAAAGGGAATGTATACTAGTTTTATACCCAAGTTCTTTATTTATGATCGTAAAGATGAAAAATAAAAGTTTAAATATATTTTTCTTTTAGGCAGGTACATATAAATTATTCCATAATAAGGTATATGTCCAGCCAAAACTTTGCTTTGGATGGAGTGGGAAAGGATCAGAACTCCTGTGAGGTTCTACTGTTCCGAGCACAGATTTTTTCCTTATATGCTGTCAAAGTGACACTAAACTCAGGAGTTAAATCTTAAAACAGCATTCAAGTCCCTTAACTATGAACAAAAATGTCTCTTATTTGTGTATCACTCGGCTGTAGATCCTAAAATCATCTCTGAATTGGTGCTGATACTGTCCTTCCTTCTGGAGGGTGGCTACTTTTTTTCCGTGTGTTGTAAAGTAGTCACCACTCCAAGATCACTCCTGTGATGGACTACAATCTCAATACAAATGCGTAAACTAAACGTGAGACTGTAGTCCATCAGCGAGTTTGAAGTGGTGGCTATTTTACAGCCTACACAAAACTCATGGGGAACATAAGTAGCCCCCCTCCAGAAAGAAGGACAGTGTCAGCACCAATTCAGAGATGATTTCAGGATCTACAGCTGAGTGATACAAAAGAGACTGTAGGAGCCTTGGTAAGGATATACAAGAGCAGTAGGAGCAATAGTATAGATATACATGAGAGAGTAGGAGCCCTACTAGGATATACTGGAGCAGTTGGAGCCCTGGTAAGGCTATATCGGAGCAGTTGGAGCCCTGGTAAGGCTATATCGGAGCAGTTGGAGCACTGGTAAGGCTATATCGGAGCAGTTGGAGCCCTGGTAAGGCTATATCGGAGCAGTTGGAGCCCTGGTAAAGATATATCGGAGCAGTTGGAGCCTTTATAAGAATCAATCAGATCACCAGGTAGGGATGACCACTAAAATAATAAAGAACACACACACACAACCAATGGAAGAGCTCATTATAAATTGCAGAGATTTTTCAACATATCTATAAAGCCCACCAACAAAAAAAGTGATGATTCCTTTTACCATCAGTATGCGCCAATTAAACATTGAATTACACTGAAAAATCATGTTGTAAAGGAAACAACAGACCAGATCTCAATGCCAATCATTCTAGGGAAACAACCTACCTGTCCATGGCCATCCTAAGTGTCAATAGTCAAAAAACTGCACTTACATTGCAAATAAAATGGTCGTCTTCCCAGCCTTTATGTAGGTGTTCTAAACAAACAAAAACACAAAGATTTCTATAACCACATTAATAATGAAAAGGTTATGTTGTTAAAAATCAATTTCTGCCCCTTTTCATTACCGCTCTGCATATGTTATGTATGCAGGATCCTCTTCTGTTCTAACCACCTACTTTCCTGATGGGTGCTAACCGAGTACTTCACTACTAAACCCCAGCCACACAGGTAAGCTGTGATGAAGGGGGACTGTTGGTGCCCCCGAAACACTTCTGTCTTGTTAGATCCTATTGTGAACAATTAAAGGCACTTTTGGACTCTTTCACCTTTTGGTTTGGCGCCCTTTATTTCTGACCACTGAATCAATTCTGGTTTGGGAGCTGCCTTGCCAGTGAGCTTATTTGCAAACTTTCCTGCTTCTGAACTATTTGAGAGAGCACAGAAACACCTCCTAAATACAATAGGGGGGATTTATCAAAACTGGAGCAGACAAACCAATCAGCTTCTCTCTTCAGCTTGTTCAGTTAAGCTTTGAAAATGAAAAGTGGATGCTGATTGGTTGCCATGCACAGCTGCTCCAGATTTTTTAACATAAAACAATACTGTAATGTGTGCCTTACTGTAATCCATGGTAGTTTCCCTTCTCTTTGCTGCTCTTCCTTTTAAATCTGTATCTCTTCTCATGTTGAGGGAAAACTTCTGTTTTGCAGCAGTCTGTCTTGTCTCTGAAATGGATACATGGTGTCTGTGTGAAGGTTCACAACTTGAGCCAGCACTACAGGAAGAGGCACTCAGCTGCAAAGGGAAGTTCTACCCCAGCATGAGAACAGATACAGATGTAAAAGGAAGGGCAGCAAAAAGAAGGGAAACCGCCATGGATTACAGTAAGGTACACATTACAGTATTGGTTTATGTTAAAAAATCTGAGGGTTTAATGTCACTTTAAGGTCTAAGATCCCATATAAACGCACATACAAATATCTGGTATCTAAAATTGTTTGAGAGTTTCCAGTCTAGAGTTCTCTTTTGAGAGCAACATATTCTAATATCAAATTACAAATTGGTCTTTTCTACTTACCGATAAGAGACGCCAGGTCTCCTTCCAGCTGCTTGGCAGCTGTTATGTGCTTTTCTGCTTCGATCTTAATTGCATCGATATCATCCGTATACTGGGTGTTTTGCTGTTTGCAAAGACAGATAGTATTACCTGTAACCGGCAGTACTAAAACTAATGCACACTATAATATACTGACAAGGTATACATTCATTGCAAATAATGCTGATTTTATACCCCTAAAAGAACTTTACAAGTATAAATTAGTTCACATCTTAAAGCTGTGACACACTGCACGCGAAGCAGCGTGGAGTGGTGGTGCGCAGACCATCGCAGGCAGTGTGTCGTGTCTTGTTCACTCCGGCACATCAGCTTGCGAGAACTCACATAGCTGAGCGTGCCGAGATGAAAAAAATTTCACCAGCGTGGAGTGGTGGTGCGCAGACCATCGCAGGCAGTGTGTCATGTCTTGTTCACTCCGGCACATCAGCTTGCGAGAACTTAGCTGAGCGTGCCGAGATGAAAAAAATGTCACCTTCAGCCAATCGGCTCGCGCTTAAAGAATCTCGCACCACGATGCGAAGTCCATTAGGTTGTTACCCGCGAGCCGATTGGCTGAAGATGCTGTCTTTCATCTGGCCGCGCTCAGCTCACACACTGCATGCAAAGCTCCATGCCTGACAGCTTTGCTTTGCTCTGCACGGCTTTGCATGCAGTGTGTCAATGGCTTTAAGCTAGGCATTCCCCACCCTGCAGCTGCGTGTAAACAAAGGGGTGGGATGCTTCTGGTGACATACATAGTTCACATCTGATCCCACTGATACACATTGTTGCAGCTGGTACTTTAATTCAATGTAATTTTATTCCGCTTCCGTAGGGCAGTCAATTTTGGATAAGCTTCTGCTGACATCATTTACCTTATATGGCCATATAATGTAAATCTCATTAACCAAATATAGGCGTGTAGCAATATAAGGTGAATGACGTCACTGCAGCCAGCAGCTGATTGGCTGGCATGGAAGGAGCTTCTATTCCATGTTCGGGAGGAACTCCTTTCAGGTTGGGCCGAACTGCTGAGCTTATCTCTACCAACCACAACTGTCCTCATGTATGCAATGATCAGGTTGTTAAATTGGAATGAGCACTGCGAATACAGAAAATAAATGAGAAATCATCCTTCTCTTTAACATCCTGCTCTTTAATGCTGAACTCCGGGATAAGCAAATATTGCCTAAGCACAAGAACCATGTGTATTCTTGGAGTCTTTGGTGTACTTTGTGTATTTCTTCCAGATCTGTGCAGTAATCCAGTGTGAAACTTTGCCTCTGTGTAGGAGCTTCCTGTAAAAAAGACCAGTCACTTTTGCTCTCTGCCTTGTGCAGGGTGACTGGTCAGGTATCCGCCTCCTCCTGTAGCTTTGTACAGGTGGGCTGTAGAGGGTGGAGCCTGCTGAGCCACTCCCCCAGCTCTGCTCTCTGTACAGGCTAAGTACAGCACAGTGCTGGTGTCACTATTACGTTTACAAGGTAATAACTTTGCTGACAAAGGCATTTAGTGCACACAGAATGGATATTGAGGTATACACTTAAACTGAATTTTTTTTTTTTTGCTTGGAGTTCAGCTTTAATATGCTGATGACACAATGTTATGGAGCCCCTCTTTTTTATATTAAGACCCACCCCCTTATTGGTTCCATTGTAAGTTTCATCTCTTGGATACATAATGTGCTTACAAGTGGAAGATGTAAAATATACTTCTTTTATTACATTATATGAATGTAAAGTCTTTTATTAAATTGAGCAATACTTTACATATATAGTAATCAGCTATATTTATGGAGCATTAAATGTATTTCTATTTAAAAAAATAATATATTTAGTATACATACCATCAAGAACTAAAAAACTCACCAGCTTCAGCCTGCAGTTTTCCATGATAACAAGCTCGAGTTTTCTGTTTATTTCATAGATGTCTTTGTCAATCTGCTTTATGGTTCCAAGGTTATTCTGGAGCTTATTAAATGCAGAGTTTCTGAGTGCCTTTAAAGAGCCCTTCTTAGCTTCCTGGAACAATTACTTTAGTTATAACAGTTATTATTATACTTCATGTCCCACTATAATAAAATATATAGAAGGGAAACTGGAGCAGACGGAATCTGGAGCAGCTGTGCTTGGCAACCAATCAGCTTCTCTGTTTCATTTTGAAAGCTTAACTGAACAAACTGAATCAGGATCGGAGAGATCTCTCAATCCGACCGGGAGGATGCAGGTTTAGGGGCCGGCTTAGGCTGCTTCTTTCTTGAACAAACTGAACAGAGAAGCTGATTGGTTGTCATGGGCAACTGCTCCAGATTCTACCTTCTCCAGTTTTGATAAATGCCCCCCCCTCCCCCCATTGTATCCTTGTAACTGTATGGGGTTAAAACTAGGGATGTCCCGATACCACTTTTTTGAGACCAAGTACAAATACTGTCCCTCATGTACTTGTCGATACCAATTACCAATACTTTTCTTAGGCTGTGCAGAGCTCCGGCAAGCTGCGGCCTCACTCCTCCATATCCAGACCACGCCCAGACTGATGATTTTAGGGCAGTTTCTCACCAGATCTAAATACAGATGTCCGCAGAGCAGAACACATGTCCCTAAGGCATAGTAGTATTCTGCTTTGGTGTATACCAATTACCAATACTTTTCTTTAAAGGGACATGTGGCATTTTTTTCTAAAACAACACAGACTGAAGATTTTAGGGCAGTTTCTCACCAGGGCTAAATACGGATGTCACCAGAACTGAATACATATCCCCACAGCAGAACACATGTCCCCAAAGCCGAACACACGTCCCCACAGCAGAAAACATGTCCCAAATGCAGAATAGTATTCTGCTTTGGGGACATGTATTCTGCGAATACATGTCCCCAAAGCAGAATTCCTCTCACCAGGCTGTGTGTCGATCTCACCCGGGCGACATGGACATCTGCAGTGGCTCTGCGGGCACTCCACCTCACCAGCGATACCGGGAATCGGCCTCCCCCACGTCCAGACCAGCGATGCTGCCACGTCCAGTCTGTCTGACTATCTGCACTGCTGCATCCTGCGACTTTCATCCATCTCCTGGCCCAGTCCTCCCCGTCAGTGTGCGGCGGGAACCCAGTTGGGGCGTTACTTTCTGTTCCAAACTCTGCCCCTACCTGGAGTACGGCTCAGGTCTGTTGTCCCCACATTGGGACTCAGCTCTGTCCAGTCCACTGACCCCCGCCAGCCTATCAATACCATCCGTTTTCTCAACCCCGCCCACACTCTCTTTTACCCCTTCTGGATGCCACGGTCCTTCAGATCAGCCCTGCCCACATTTTCTTGGCCCCTCCCTAACCGTAGCATTCAAAAACTCCTCTTCCCGCCAATGTTCCCCCTGCACTCCGGCCTGAAAAAGAAGGTCTAACCTTCGAAACGCCTCGCCGCCAGCCTAACTCTCACTCCTTGGACATTTATGTGTGTTACGAACACTCCATCTCTCCACGGGTACGCTGTGGGCATCCCTTCTCGGAAACCACGCTCCACCGCCCGTTCCACCGCAGCATCGGACCACCTTTCACACACGGCTCCCGCCGCAACACTCCCACCACCTTCATCCGAACTTCACCTCCGCTCCCATTGGACATTGGACACACAACCACCCCACAGACGGCAGCTGTTCGCTGTGACATCCCGGCAGCTCCTCTGCCCATCGGCTCTCCTGTCGGCACCGCATCGCCCTTCAGCTGCGGTCACCAGATTCTACAACCAGGACCACCGTGACAGCAGCCACCTAGAGGATCACCCCACGGCCATCCAGGCACAACACTGACCGCACCTTCGCTGACATCCTGCCTTCGCTTTACCAACGGTGAGTTTCAGAAGTTCACCCGTCCCTTGCCTACCACTCTACCTCAGAGAGGGACTGATTCCACCACTCCACCCGACTCTGGTGGTTACAAGCAAGCGCTCACCCTGCCACAGGTGAGTACATTACTTTTACACCAACTTCGCTCTACCACATTTATTGCGCCAGGTAGTGGCGCTTCCGTTTTCCAATTTTGTTTTATGCGGCGGGAACCCCAAGCTTCTAGCCCCCGGGGCTGTCCATGGCTGTGTCTGCGCCGGGAAGAAGGAGGAGGAGATAAAGAAGCTGACAGGCACTGCCATGGACAGCTATCTGCAGGTCCCCAGCAGGCTGCCGAGGTCCCCACAAGCACGGGAACACGGACGGCCGCTGCTGTTTGAAAATGTAAAGGGTCAGTATCTGCCTTAAGAATCAGGGAATCTTCACGAGTACAAGTACTCGTGAAAATGCCTGGTATCGGCCCTTATACCGATACTACTATCGGTATCGGGACATCCCTAGTTAAAACCTGTAATTATGGTATTCATTATATAAATTCCTTTTTTTATTTCACACGGCTTTAGGTACATTTTTACATACAGTATGCATGCCAACTTTGACAACCTGTGCCAGTTACAGGGGTTGGGACAAACCGGTGGGGTGCTTAAATTGTCAAATTTTATTCATGTGGTTTAAACCATTTTTTCCAAAAGCAGAAAAAAGCTGCAAGTATTTCAAATGTGTTAGCTGGAGTTATGCTTTCATTTTTTCGCTGCTTACTTAATGCACCTCTAAAGTCACCCTGTGTCACAGGGTGACAACCCTGCTGCATGAGTTCACTGCAAAACCAACAGCGTTGTAATCCTGTTAAAGGAAGTGGAAAAATAAGGGATTTGCAGGCATTATCAACAGGGAATAAAACATATCGATACAGGGCAGGCTCAGAAAAACAAAAATGGCTGTGTTAATGTTAGTGACACTCTGCATCACATACAGTATGTCATTTTGATTTTGCCAATAGATCACAAGACTGGCCCTAAGGTCACTCGTGTGATGCCCCCCCCTATACAAGAACGATAACTGGAAGGTAAATGCTCACCCTAGGGCCAGTTATGTGATACTCTCCCTTATACAAGAACTATAACTGGAAGGTGAATTATCACCCTTAGGCCACTCATGTGATACTCTCCCTTATACAAGAATGATAACTGGAAGGTGAATGATTACCCTAAGGTCACTCATGCGATAACCCCATTATACGAGAACAATAACTGGAAGGTGAATGCTCACCCGAAGGCCACTCATGTGATACCTCTCTTGACAAAAACTTACCTTTATCTTTACGTTGGCCTCAATGTCCTTAGCGATTTTACTGATGGATAGCGCCAAGGATTTCTGTCTGCTTTTACGTTCTGCAAAGGAAAATTATAACTCACTGCAATGTTTACTTGTGATCGCCTCTGATTCATAAAGCCTGGGCTCTACATCTCCAAATATCTAAGGTCACAGATGCCAGTGTCTCAGTGGAGGAATATAACAGTAGTGAGTAGGCATGAACAAAATTCAGCAAAAATTGGGAGATTTCAGTTGTTCAGTTGTAAACGCGATCACTAAAATCTGATATAAAGTTTAACACGTTAATATCATTTCAGAAGTTGTTTTCAATGTTTCATTAACATAATACCTCTTGCTTCTTGCTTCTGCCATGAAGACACTGGGGAAGCTTAACACTCCCTATTTTTCCTGGTTTTTTTGACCATTTTCAGCGAGACAACAAGTGATGGGAAATCCAAAATGATACAGTTGTCATTAGAACAGGAAAAGAGGGAAAATCAACTAATAGGGACGCCTGCTTTGGTGACAACCAAGAAGGATTTTTTCTTCCTTCTTTTTTCCCACACAACAGGAACAAAAAAAATGACCAGGTTGAGAAGCTGAACAGCAGGGAAAAAATGTATTGAATGGCAATGTGTCATTAAATGGACTTTTGCTAATTACTCTTACGGTGTGCTGGTGACATAATTTCTTCTTCTGTGTTACTTACGGTGCCGTCCGTGGTCACTACAAGCACCCACCAGTTTGCACGGGTTTCTCTGATGTTCCGGTAAGGAGTGCAGCAAGGCTTCTAGTTTTTAGCTAATTTAAATAACATCATCTGATGCAGTATTTGGAATATGAATCCATAGAACACACTATCGCTCTCTCACCTCCAGCATGTGTCTTCAAGTCCTCATAGCTTGTGTTCTCTTTATTGTAGGTGTCTTCAGCCTCCTTCATAATGGGAATGTTATTGGCCAGTTTTTCTTGCTCACTTTGTAAGTTTTTGATAGAGACCATGATTTTCTCCTTTAAAAAATTAAATTATAAAGATGTAATTAGACTGTCATGAACTCAGCACGTATAGGGGCTGTCATTCTTGATCCCCCAGTGAGAATACTAGTTCCCTGGCTGTCATGTTAATTCAATGTCTTCAGTACTTTATGAATGACTAACCCAGTAAAAATGTTCCAAAACAGATTAAACTTCACTCTCACTTTTCTAATCTGTAAACTGATTGTAGGTCAGTGACCCTAAATTATTGACGCCAGAGACAGCCAGACAACTAGCATTTTCATATGCTAAATAAGAGGATTTTGAGGTGTTTAAAGCTTTAAAATATTTTTAGTTAGAGTAATATGAAATATTGTATGTGAATATTTGGTATTTTCATTTCATGCCAGCAGGAGGGGCTCTTGGCTCATTTTCATGTGGTTGTTTGCTTTGCTGAGAAAAGTCTTGTTGTTTGCAGAGCTCAGGCTGAAATTTAGAAGTGAGCTAGTGGGGTGACTTGTGCTACCCTGCTGACTTCCACTCTCTAATTGAGATGGAGTCTGAAGGAAAGCAGCTTCTGCAGTGCTTTAGGTTTAGAAAACTCCTACTGGTCTGTTAATCTTGTGTTGATTCATCGATTTTGATATCATTCTTCTACAGCAGCACTCGGGTTGGGAGAGAACTAGCACCCAATCAGCTCACATAAACTTTCAAGGAACATTCTGAGAGGAGGAGAGAGCAAAGCAAAGCAAACTCATCACTCTACTGCTGCTCCTTTACTGTCCGATTCTTCAGATGGCTTTTTATGGGGTTTCAATCAGAGAGAGTCTAAAGGAAAGCAGCTTATGCTATGCTCTGCGTTTAAAAAACGTACACTTTTGTGTTGTAGGTACACTCTGTATTAAATGGTTATTTGCGAAACAATCATTTTTTACAAATAGTAAAAGAGTAGATACAAAACATCAGGTTGAAAACATACATAGCGAATATACATAAATTAGAAAATAGATCCAAAGCATTTAAAGTTTCCCTTTAAAGATTCATTTTAGCCAGATATAAAGAACACCAATTATGCAGGTATGTGTTCTTTGAAAAGTAATAGCAACGTCCTTCTCTGGGGGCCACATCGCTGCCTGGATGATGGGAACACTTTCCATTGGCTGTCCATCGGCAGTGATCCACTGACTTTAGAATACTACACAAGTGCCATGACATCAAAACAGGGGGGGGGGAGCAATAAGACCAGTTAGTGGCGGGCCTGGACACACTGTTGGATCACCGACCTTTACTTCCAGACGAGGTGCTGTGGAAGGTCACGCGACGGTGGGCTTAGGTGAATAAAACTTTTTTTTTTGTTTTTTTTAAAATACTGAATGGTATGGAAGGTGCTGGGGTAAGGGGTAAACTTTCCTGAAGATAATTAAGTAACAACTGGCCAAAAGTCCAATTGTTTGGCAAGTATCACACTAAGCATATATGGATATCAGTTGTATAATTAGCGGTTTGCCTGGAATTCCACTTTAAGATTTTTTCACCAGTGCTCTCTGACTTCACGTAAGCATCTGATCTCACCTCCAGTGTCTTTATCTGTTCATTGAGATTCTCTTCTTCACTTAAATATTCTTTACTTGCTTTTTCCAGTTCCTTGGTTACACTGCGGATCTCTTTGTCCCATTTCTCAATTTCTGCCTGGAGACGTTTGCCCTAGATGCAGGACAATTATGAATTATTACACTGGGTCAGTATCTATGCATCAAGTCACCATCATCTTGCATTATACTTAAAATCAAACTAGTTCTATGTTACGTACACACGTGTCTATGTGAATCTTCTGCAATTATTGCCAAACTGCCTAGGGCTTTGCTTTGAATAAAATGAAATCAGTCAAGAAATCGAAGGAGTTGGATCTGAGTTTTTTCTTTTATGGTATAAAAATGATCTGTGTAAAGCTGGATGTGTATGCAGGTATGATCCAGACAACAAACCCTTATTCACTGTAGTGCTACACAATGGTTGTGCTTTACTGCTCCTTCTCACAACACAAGTTTATGAGTCAGTCAACACATTGAAATCAGTGCACACGGTGCACAGAAATATGCAGCAAAAAAGCCGTAGTATCACAAACTTATACTCTCGAAAAAAGGATCTACTTCAAGTGGAAGGTTAAAATAAAGGTTGGACTGGGTCTGTTCACATATTTCTGATTAGAGAGGGACACTTACCACCAAAAGTGGTTTTCTGCTTTGCATTTAAAGCAAATATTTCCTTTGCCAATGTTCACAGAAACCCCTGGCAAATAGTAATTATTCAGCTTATAAACAACTGGAACAAAAAACATTAGATATCCAGTTATTCCCCCACCAGTGCCACCGTCTTGCCTCTAGCACAGTACAGAGAAGGTGAAGCCAGTCTGCATCCCAGACACCTCATCCCTTCCTGTGGCAGCCTTGGCAACTTTTATGTCAGCAGCCAAGGGGAGTTGTTAGAGATGGAGATGTAGGCTAAGCTGCTTCAGTCAAAATCTAAATATTACTACCATTGCAGTTTAGTCAATATGTATGAACACAGGGGAATCTCACTGATCCATCCCACAACGTCACCCAAGTGCACTGCATGTGCAGGCTGGGAACTGTCCACGCTTCGCAGTAACCCCGGCCAAGAAAATACACCTCTCGTTCACCATACATGTAGTTTATTCCATCCAACAGCCACCATGATATAGGCTAAGTCCATAAGGGTGAAACACGTTACAGGTGGAGGCTACTAGGTGGGCCTATGCCATGATGGCTGTTGGATGGAATAAACTACATTGATGGTGAACGAGTGGTGTGCGGCATTTTCATGGTCTTTAGTCTGCGCATTATGAGAATAGAAGGAGTGCATTTGAAACAGCTGATGGAAGAGATTATGAAGGTACCGCTGTGTTTACGTGCATTCGAAAGGTGCACTTAAAAATAAAGTTAAATAAAGGTCAACTCCAGCCAAAACCTATTATTATTTTTTGGATGTCTGTGTTCCCATTGTAAAAACCTACAGGAGCATCAGCGGACATGGGTAAAAACATAGGGCTTTGCAGATTCTTTAAGGGCTTGTTCTGGACTAGACAAGTTAAGCATTTTGCTACATTTTTTAGCACTGACAGGAGAAAATCTACTTTTTCATACAGCCTGATCACACTAATATGTTAGACTGCAGTGCAGTGGAAAAAGTTCTGCATGCGGCATTTTGGACCCAATGCACTATTATTGTGTTGACATGCAATGTGTTAAGACAATACATTTATTTAGAATGGGTTCTCAATGCACCTCAATGCACACATAAACACTGCACTATTTTTGGCAATGCATCGCACCACAACACGCAGATCATTTAAATCTGCGAGGGTTAGTGAGCTATAATGCAGGTGTGTTTTTTGTTATAAGTGTGTTGGGGTGTCATACAAAATGAATGGCAGTGAACCACACCGCATGTATACTGCTACATAAACATTTATTGCAGTAGTACACAGTAAGATGCACGTTACTGCAACTCACTAGTCTGAATGGGCTCCAAAACACATATCAATACACTACATCTCATGGTGGGTATAAGCCCTGATGTAACCTTCTTCTGGCCTCACCTCTGTGGTTAAGTACATTTTCTTATTTTGTCCTGTTGTTATTCTTTGTTTTAATTCTTTCATTATGGTTTCCTCAAACAGTTTCCACAGCTCCATCTCCTTTGTCACTTCATCTTTTTTAATTTGGATTGCCATTCTAGGTTAAAAAGGAAAGCAAAACACACTCTGTAACTCTTGTAGGTTGATAGAGAAACATTGCAATGAAATATAACTTCTTTACTATTCTTAAAGGAGAACTTTAAGGTGAGTGTTCTTCACTCATCCTCATAGTTAGAGCCGACCAGTGACAAAGAACCTGTCACAGGTCGGCTCTATTGATCGCAATAGCTCGCTATATACTGAGCTTTGGGTCATGGGAGGAGGTTAGTATATGTCCTCCCGTGACCCTAAAGAGAACTATGGGGAAAACACTTACCCCATAGTTCTGCTTTAATTTAGATTTAAATAAATAGTATGTAATAATATCTGTTCTTATTTTGGTAGGACAGGCTTGTCTCAGACAGAGAGGCAAAGCTTAAGCTAACCACACATGTTATGGACCATATATTAAATAACTCCACGACTGCCCTAGGGAAATTCCCAAGGGGGCCTACAATCAGGTGGGGGCTCATCACCCCCACACCAACATAGTATGAACACAACCAAAGAGAACAACAGTGGGGTTTAACATGAGTCACCCTCGCTGGAAATATTGGGATAACAATGTTATAATTATATGTGTGTTTAACGCATTTTAGGATTATTATTTACCTGTAAAAGCCTCCTTTGTGTAGACATCCAAAAACTCTGAGGCTGCTGCTGGGTGCTGACATCTTGGATGTGATGGCAGCAGCCCCAGCAGACTCAGAGCTTTTACTCAAGTGACACTCTATTACGCTTTACATCACCCCCCCCCTCCCCCGCCATGCAGCTACATAAATTATTATGTAGGGAAGTGAAGGGACGGTCAGAGAGGCTGGGCCAGCACAGAAAGTAATTAGACACTCTCAGAAGAAGAGAAGGGGGCCATGATATGGAAGGAGGGAGGGGGCTGTGCTAAGGAACTGGCTGGCCTTCCCATTACATCATGGCTGGTAAATCTACAATAAACTTATGTTCAATTAGACTGTAGTGTGGTTGTCTTAAAGGAGAATGAACTATCAGACTGAAACGTGTGAAGCCAGCTTTACTGAGAGCAGGCATGGTCTAGCTTACATATATGTGGCTGGTATCAGTGGGTTTGGGTGCTGTGTGTCTGCCTACAGCAACCAGTGACACGTCTAGCAGAATCCAACACTAATGTATGTCTCTCCTACGGGAACATAAAATAAAATTCTAGTTTTAAACCTTTTCTGTCTTTCATTTGCCAGGTCTTCCTTAGATTCATCTACTTGAGCACCAAGTTGTTCTGTGATGACTCTGAAAATCAAAGAATGACAAGGTAAAAAAAGAAAATGATGTAATTATTACACATGATGCTGAAGTGCTCTTACTACGGCTTACCGCATACTCTCTACCAGGCTTTCTGACTCCAAATCCATTTCTTTCAGCTCCCGTCTTATCTTCCCTAATAATTCCTGCTTCTCATTGAGAAGATCTCTGGATCTGTCCAACCTTTGAGAAATAATAACAAAAAGAGAATAAAAAATAATCTATATATAACCTATCTATAGCTCTTGTTAGGAAATATTCCACTCCCAGGGCTACCAATCCCAGATGGTTCCTGAGTTCCACTAGCAAAATATACAAAAACTACCATAATTAATCTTTCATAAACTATATTATTCCCAGAAGCTGAATACACTTTAGTTTTTTTAGGGGGACAGGATACACTACATGGGAGTAGGAGCAGTGTGCAGGCACCAAGGGTTTTCACCCTTACAGGTTCATTCTATCCTTTAAAAAATATAATAGATGGAACTTAACATTGTACTGGGATTCTGTGATTACATGAAGTTTGTTTGCTTACCATTGTATTTTTTATTCCTATTTATTTGCAATTGTAATTTATAACAATGTACAGAAACAAAGAGATGGATATTCTAGAAGTGGCTAGCACATCTTGTTCTATTTATCCCCCTCAGATGCAAACTTTAACAAAAGCAGAAAACTGAAAGGTAGACACTACATTCCCCCTGCAGTCATCCTGGTGTACATTAGGAATGACCGCATGCAATATATTAGACAGGGCACTAATAAAGATGGAAGTTTTTAATGCAACTCATGAACCCAGAGGCATTTGAAGAAAATATGGAGAGAGAATAAAAATTAAAGTCATACACTCTTTATGTAGCATGCAATGTACGTTTTTTATGAAATGGTTGGCGTTTTAGAAAATTTTACAGAATGAGCCAAAATCCTTACTGCAGTGCTGTGTCTTTCTTCATGGCATGTTGTCTGTCTTCTTCCTCAGATGCAGCCTGGTATTCCTGCTTCAAAGCTTTGTGCCTCTCTGCCATAGACTGCTGTAGTGTCCCTGCTGTACTCATTTCCTCATCCAGCTTATATTAAAAAAAACCACAAGAGGATTTAAAGAAATCTGCACTACGCAATGTTAACATGTAAACTAGACATACAACGTACCCCTGATGCAATTCTAAAACTATTTCCTTTTTTTTAAAAACAAACACTTTTTGGTTTTTCAGGTCAGACATATGGGGGGAAAAAATATTAGGACCTGTGTGCCACCCCTACCCCCTTAGCATGTCATAGTTGAGCAGGTTTGAGCCACAAATAAAAAAAAACTACCATGATGCCAATGAGGTTCCCTGTTTTTTCCTCTGTAAGCTGTACAGTCAGACAGCATGGTATGGTGGATGTAGACTCAAAAATGTAACAGGTTTCAAACACTGCTTTGTATAAAATGCTCTCCCAGTATAAAGAGAGGTGACAAAGTTGATAATTTGGGATTGCACAGCTTCTTATTTTATAATAATCAACTGCAGAGTTTCTCAGCGCAGTTACATCGCTGACAATGGGCTTGGTGTGTGACATTAGATCACATGTAAAGGGTGCCTGGTTGACCCCAGGTCCTATGATACTAAGTGTATATACAGCAACTAGTGTGTCAATACACATAGGCCCTGAATCACTACATTGTAAGGTACAAATATATTAAAAAATTGCTTGACCTTTTGCATGTACAAAGCTTATTCATCACCTTTTTGCACACTTTAATATGATGCAAAGTTGTGTCTGCTGATAACGTTTGCTGCCTACATCAGGCAATCCACGACATAATGTGCATGAAGCATGAGCACTCAACATTTTCTAATTTGCAAACAAATGGTTTCTGCATTTATTTTTTGTGTGCAAAAAAAATAAATAACATGAGGTCATCAAGGTGCCATCATAGTTATGGATGCCATTATAGTTAAGTGAATCGAGTCAAATACAAAAATTTAAAAAAATTAAACATTAGCATGTGAAAACAGGCCAAAACAAGATGTGCAAACTCATTCTGCCCTTTAGGGAATCAGGCCGATAAAATTGTTTCCCAGCTGGATCGGGCAATGGTTATCTCAGGTCTATGGGAACACTCAGGATGACACACACAGGTCTCAGCTGAACCCATATTAAAGGATAAAATGCCACTATGAAACCTCACTGCAAAGTTCAGTCTATAAATTGTAAATGTCACATTGGTTTAGAAGAAAGCTCATGGATGCTGAAATATTTTCCATAGTTAGATCTTTTATCTATTTTATTGAAATAGATGTAAAACTGACCTTTGACAAATCTTTTGAACTCATCTTGAACATAAACATTTTTTCCCTCACTTTAAAAGGTTAGGCTTTTATTTTTTTCACTTGTTTTGATACTGTGACTACAGGGAACAATAATTCTTCCTGAACAGGAGACACTCATTCTAATACTTAAAGTGTAAGTCTACCTAAAACTCCTGTTTGATCTTTTAGTAGATGTTGGGAAATTAAACCACCTTCAATTTCTTACATCTGACAAGGACTCTATTGGTGAATTCTCCACGCTGAGTCCCAAGGTCTGTACACCTGCTGTGGCCGTTATAAGGACTTCCCACTATCTCTGTTTGATATTTTTTAATTTCATATTATGGAGAATGCAGCAGGAAAGGGGCTGGAATGAGCACCCAAAACTCCCAGGTGGTTAGAGTCAGAATCTTGACAAAGGAACACATTTAAGAGGCACTGTGCTCACTCAAATTGTCCAGTTGCCGGAACGTTTTCAAATGAGCTCACTGGCAGCTCCCAAACAAGACAGGCCACCCTTGTGGGGTAACCAGAAGTGACTTAATGTTCAGAAATAAAGGGGATAAACCAAAAGGTGAAAGAGTTCAAACATGCCTTTAAATTGTTCATAAATCGATTAAAGGAGAACTATGAGGTGAGTGCTTTTCACTCACCTCATAGTTCTAGCCGACCTGTGACAATGAGACTGTCCCAGGTCGGCTCAGTAGATCGGGAGGTGAGCGAACACATACCGGCGTTTGCTCACCTCTCGATCCTGTCGCGGTTCTCTGCCGTGACAGGGGAGGGGCTGGATTCCCCCCTCCCCGCTCCGATCCTCCAGCGCTGACTGGCGGAACGGACGGGGGAGGGGGCGGGTACAGCTGGCTCTGCCTCTAGATAGGCAGAGCCAGCTGTCACTAACGCAGCTGGGCGGATCCAGACATAATTGTCGGGATCCACTTTATCTGTAGCTCGCGGTATACTGCGGCGTCTCAGTATACCACGAGCTGTAGCTCGCGGTATAATGAGCTTAGGGTGACGGGAGGACACTAGTTTGTGTCCTCCCGTTACCCTAAGGAGAACTATGGGGAAAAGCCCTAACCCCCATAGTTCTCCTTTAAGCAAAAAACAGCCAACCTGTTTCAACACTCACCCTTAATCAGGGCTTAGGATGGGATAAGGTCTTGTTGGACACTGAGCAAAGCAGAGGAATGTTGCTTTGAGATTGGCTTTGTCTTATTAAAAACAGTTTTTTCCCATCTGATGATGGATGGGTTCACTGCTGTGAGAATTCTTTGTGTTCTACAAACATCCACCTTTTTTCAGTATAGGTGGAGGCTACACAATGCTTTACCAATTCTTCAAGAAGACTACAGTTCCACTTACTAACTTGATTACATAATATTTGTATCCAATATTTTGTATTTACCGAGCTTATGTATTTATTTATTTTTGTTAGTCCTGGCTAACAAAAATATGTCCAAACCAATATACATTTCCTTAGCTACTTGCTTGGCATCACTGTTCTCTTTTAGTTTATTATTGAACATTAGTGATGAAAGAAAAAAAAAATGAGGTTATATTATGAAGTAATAGCTATGGAAATGTTTGGATTTACAATGGTCCACCTGTCTCAGTGCCTTGCTAATAGCAGATCCCTACATACTATTACATATAGAGAGCACAATAAAGATCCAATTTGCTTGGTTCCATGCATTACAAATGCAGAGTTCAGAAGCAAGCTTCTGTTGCACAGCAAACCTGCTGACTCTCACAAGAGAAGGTAGATGGTATATTTGCTGCTGCAAGACAGGACAGCCCACTACTCAGAAAACATATACATTTGATTTAAAAAAAAATGAAAAAAAAAGTGCAGTAACTCCTCTCTAAGGTTTTCAGTTCAGATACTATAGTCTGTATTTATTTCCATAACTGATAGGTCCACTTTCATTACACCTGCATGCCGCCACAATCAAATCTAAATAAATCTAAATCAATTTTACCTTTGATATATTATCTTTTAAGGAATCACTTTTTCTGTTAAAATCCTCTTTTTGATCAATCATTCGTAATTCTAGCATATCTCTAAAAAATAAACAAGGATAATGTTTGAGAACATAATAAGTTAAACCCACAAAAAAAGTCCTAAAACATTCTGCAAAGATCCCACATCAAAGTCCCAGGGATGCGTTTATGAAAATTCACAACGTTTTGTTTTTTGTTTTTGGTCTTTAATAAAAAGTAAATAAATAAAACAAATAAAGACTTATGCAATCTTTCATCCCGACTCTGTGGTATACTCCATGGTAAGAGGATGATCTCTAATGATCCCCTGATAATTATAGCTGAATAGAAGGGGAGCCCTCCCCCCTCTTTTTTTTTTGGGAGGTCGGTCGCTGCAAAAATGTATTTTTTTATTAATCTGCCATTTTATTTACCTATGTAGCAAAACCTGAATTATAGGTATATGTCCTTTTGTATATATTTTTGATGTTATTATTTGCTAATATGTTTTGTTTTTTGTATATTGTTTTTGGTCTTTAATAAAAACAAAACTGACTTTCAACTACTTCATGTGTTAAAGGAGAACGATGAGGTAAGTGCTTTTCACTCACCTCATAGTTCTAGCCGACCTGTGACAATGAGACTGTCACAGGTCGGCTCAGTAGATCGGGAGGTGAGCAAACACATACCAGCGTTCGCTCACCTCTCGATCCTGTCACGGCTCTGTGCCGTGACAGGGGAGGGGATGGATTCCCCCCTGCCCGCTCCGCCAGCGCTGACGGGC